TATGAAATGCCAAGGTAAACTTGGACAGAAATACAAATTATTTTGAAATATAATTTGTTGCTTTGGATTTAGTGAACAGGACCTGAGAAAAGTTTATTAGGGAGATGTGTCTAAAATTTTCATCAGTATATATTAAATATAATATATGCAGTTTTCATGTATCTATTATACCTCAATCGAGCTGTAGAAAAATTAATGGCACGGAGAAGCAGAAAAGTATAACTTTGGTCAGTTTTTATTCTTTTGATCAGCAAATACTTACTGATGAGTGCTTGGAAAATAATAATTAGCTAATAAATTTTAATTTGTTGTGAAATATGACACATGTACAGAGAAGTTTATAAAATAAAATATACACAGCTCAATTAAACACTGCAGATCCATTTTAGTGGGTATATAGTGGGATCTCATTATTGTTTTAATTTGCATTTCTCTAATTTGTAATGTGATTGAGTACTTTTAAATTTTTTATTGTCTATTTTATATCCTGTTTTGTGAAGCAGCTATTCTCTTGCTGTGTTTATGATTATCTGTTTTCTATGGATTCGTTGAAGTCACTTATATATTTGGGGATGTACTATTTGTTGGTTACATGTATTATAAATATCTCTGCCCATTCTGTGGCTTGCTATTTTTGCTATCTTAATGGCATTTTTAGATAATTGGAAAATTTTTATTTTAACAGAGTTCATTTTATAAACCTTTCCCAATATGAATTGTACACTTTGCATAAAAAATAGTCAACAAGCATAAACAATATGATCCCAGTCCTTTTAAATTTTTTAAACTTTAGGATCATCATGTGATCATTAAGCTTTAGGGTCATCATATGATCAATATTGATGAATGTCTTGTGCATGCTTCAAAAGAATGTGTCTCCTTTATCAGTCTAGATTTCCACCTACACATTATGTCAAGTTGGCTAATCATATTATTCAACTAGCTATATAGATCCTTACTAATATTTTTTGTTTATTTCATAAGTAGTTGTGTTTAATTTGTCACTGTTATTATAGATATACATATTTTTCATTGGAATTCTGTCAAGTTTTGCTTCACTTATTCTGAAGCTATCATGCTAGGCACATCCATGCTTAAAATTATTATAACATTGGTGAAATGAGTCTTTTTTACCGTGAAGTATTCCTTTTATTTCTAATTGTTTTCTGCAAAAGGGTTAGTTGAAATTACTTAGTTCATCATTTCTGGGATAAAATGTAAATGAACTCTGCTGGCAATACACAGTCACATCTCTGCATTAGCTCACTGTAAAGAGAAAGAGGCAGTCAGGTAAAAGGCACTTACAGTATCGTTTTGAAGTATTGAGGCAAAACACAGCATGCTGTGATAGCCCGGAGGGGGCCACTTAACCCAGGCTTAGTTGACAAGGAAGGGTCCCAGAGGGAGTTGCCTGTGGGGGAGGGGGGCTTGTTTGGGGACTTATGTGGCTCAGCTACTGAGCATGACAAGAAAACTAGGGGGAAAAAAAGGGTTCTAAATGGACAAAGTTGTTTCCAATTGTGTGCTATTTCAAAGTGTTCAAATGTTTGCTCTTATGAATAGATAACATTGCAGTAACAAACTTTGGGCCTTTATCTTTGTCCATATTCCACACTATTTCTTTCGGACAGGTTCCTTGAAGCAAAATTACTACAGCAAGGGACACGGGCATTTTTATGTACAAAAGCGGCATGCAAGTCAAGATCATAGAAGGCTTTTAGAAATAAATGACAATGGAGCCAAGTTTTGAGGGATCATTAGGATTTAGACAGGATGAAGGTGAGGGACATCAAGCCCTGGGGTATCTCATGTCCACAGAGGAGAGAGTGGAAGGGATGGCAAGTATTTCAGTGTGGGTGGGTTGGCTTAGTTACATGGCATGAGTAATCATGCTGAGAGAGTGGGCTTAAGTGTAAACTAAGTTTATACTTGATTTCTTCAAAGAGGTTTAGTTAATAAAATAATATAAAGTCCTTTATCTTACCCTTGAAGTTCATGGGATCCATTTGTACCATATTCATCAAATCATTATAACAGTTATCATTCATATACCAGAACTTATTTTCTTCCATCTCCCCAGGTGATTTTAGCATCTGGAACATTTCTGTTTCCCTTCCACTGCCTGCCATCATACTAAGTAATGGCAACTTCCCTTAACTTTTTCCTATTCTTCAATGCCCGCATGCCCTAGGATGGTACTTATTAAGTCTAAGCCCGGCTTCACCACTTATTAGCTGTGTAATTTCTGACAAGTTACTCAACCTCTCTTTTGTCACAGGTTCTTCCTGAGAACCACAATATCCATCATCAGGTTGTGAGAATTCAATGAAGTCATCTGTGCATAAGCACCTGGCTTGTCGTTGCAGCACAAGGGCAGTGATTTCCCCTCTATTATGAGTATTTAAATTTGTCCAGGTTGAAAATACCTTTTGCTACAGTTTACAGCAGCTCAAAAAAGGAAAATCAGAGAGGAACCGCATTATCCTGAGAGGAACCGCATTACGCTGAGAGCCTTCTGTTAGGGGTGGCTATTCTCATTTAGGGGCACAGCCCAAGCTGGTGAGAATGCCTGACCTTTCTTTGACTGCTCGATTTGAGAATAAAATGAGGAGCCCAGCCTTTAGGGCTCTCTATTCACCAACTTTTACAAATTTAAGATGCATTTCATTTTAGTGATAAAACAGCATAGATTTTCTTCTCTTAGGTCATTCTTGCCTTCTATCTACTCAGTCCCTATTCTCCGTCTTTCCCTTCCTCCACATCACAACAAAGCATCCAAATTCTGGTTATTTCAGATACCACAAAATCACGGCAGGCTAATTTTGCCCAGACTTTCTGTGAAAGCTCCACATGTGCTGCCGTTTGGGGTTGCATAATTGATTCAATCTCTGATTTTAGAGGAACGCTGAACTCCTTTTGTGGGACGCTGTATACATTTCTCTAGGGCAAAAACTGTCCTACTTTTTTCTCTCTGGTATCTGTTTAGTGCTAGGCCATTTTCCCCCCTAAGAATCTAAACTACCCTCCGTGAAATAAATGAAATCACAGCTGGAAAACAGCTTACTGGACAGACTTAAAACCACAAGATAAGAGCTACACCACACACATTTTCTTAGCATTCTTCTCTTCCCCTGCTTCCCTTCTTTCTGCTTTGGCACATCTTTGTTTTGGCTAAGAGAATATGTTGGTCACTCAGTTGAGGATTGGCATTACCTACATTGGGCAGCAGTGGACCTTACCATCTCACTGGGAATGCACAGTGGAGTCTAATCCTTGCTTGGCCATAGGCTGTATGACTGTAAGCAGATTTACATACCTCTCCGAGTCTTACTTTCAGCAGCTCCTTGTAGACTAGTGACTGTGAGGCCTGGATTATAAAGATAGGTGTGTAGCAAGCTACAAACTCACATTGAGTCTTTTGGCTTACCAGATATGAGTGCCAAGTGGGGAGGATGATTTTATGCCCCTTGAAAGACATGTTAACCAAAATGACAATCAGGCAATTTTACGTTTACCATTTACTTCACACTGTACTTGGGAACCCATTTTTGGTAGCATTTGCAGGAATTTTTGAACTGGAAAATTTTGTTTGATAAAAGATGTCTTTGGTGGACCTGTTTGGTTTAGTATGTAGTTTGGAGACTGTCTTTTCATCAGCTGCTTTTTGAAAAATTGATTTCTCTGTAATATTTTCTGTATTCTAAGATATACTTTCTGAAGAAAATAAACTTTTGTTAGGTCCATACTCACTGTCACTATTTCAGCAAATTCCCCAGTTCTCATACTATAAAAGTGATCAAACTCCACTCTTTACATCAAGGGAATAATGTCAGAAATAATTCCCAACTGATGTCTGAGTATCATAGCCTGAATGGATTGTGTCCTTATGCTGCTAAAAGAATTTAGGCTTAGACAATAGCCTATTTGTTATATATATAACTTGTTTAAAAAAACATTCAGCATAAACAGGCCATTATTTAGACTCTGTTACTTACTAGTTGGATAAATTTGGATAAGTCCCTTAATTTCTAAGCCTTGTTATGTGTGAATATTTAAAATTGAGAAATCATACTTATTTCTCAGGTTTATTGTGAGCACTAAATGCTAAAATGCATGTAAAGCAATTTGGGAATCCAGCTATAGACAAGGTATCAGCCAGGTTTTGCTATAGGAATGGTGTGTAACAAATAATCCCCAAATCTCAGTGGCATACACCAATAAATATTTATGCTAAACTCAGTTGGAACTGCTTCCAGCTTGTATGTTCTCTTCAGGTCCACGTATGTCTCTTTATTCAGGCATTTGAAGCTATTTAAAGAATTCTCCTTTCATGGCAGAGTACTTCATTATAAGTGACCTAGTGAACACTTGCCAAGCAATTTAGAGCTTCAACTCAGAACTGGCATTACTATTATTTCTACAAAAATTTCCTTGATTAAAACAAGTCATATGACAAGGCCAAATATTAGGTCAGGAAAGTTTACTCTGTCCTAATGAAGAAAAAAGAGTGAATCTTTGCTGAACTCCAAACTCCCTCAGAAGTTTACTGCATCTCATTTTTTCCCCTTTTATTTCATCTATATGACCATTCTTCATATAGTTTACTCTACTTTACATTCCCAAAATTACATTACAATTTCCCTCTCTTTTAATATTTTTTAAATTAAAGTTTATTGGGGTGACAATTGTTAGCAAAGTTTCATAGATTTAAGGTGTACAATTCTGTAATACATCATCTATATATCACATTATGTGCTCACCATCCAGAGTCAGTTCTCCTCCCATCACCATATATTTGACCCCCTTTACCCTCATCTACCACCCCCCACCCCCATTAACCTCTGGTAACCACTAATCTATTGTCTGTGTCTATGAGTTTTGTTTCTTCATTTGTTTTTCTTGTTCTTTTGTTGTTTTCAGTTTTATACCACATATCAGTGGAATCATATGGTTCTCTACTTTTTCAAATTAATATAAATGATGTTTTTCTTTGTAAACAGGTACTTTAGAAAATCCCTTAAAAAAGGAACAAAATCTTCTGATTCTCCTTAGAGCTTCAGAGGGAGTCTCTTGCGACCGTTTCAATGGAATTCATATAGATCCAGGAACAATTGGTAAGAGTAAAATATAGTTTTTATTAAAAGTGAAATGTGTGTGTGTGGTAGAGAAGTGCCATTCATAGAGCATCTACTAAATTTCAGGTACTCTTTTAGTTAATTTATGTTTATTATTTCATTTACCAACTCTCCTATAAGCAGTGTCCATTTTAAAGATGTCAAAACTAAGACTCAGAGATGATGAACAATATGAAAAAAAGGTACATAACTTTACAGTGGCAGAATATAGATTTATATCCAGATTGGCCAGTTACCAAAATCTGGAATAAGAGTCAATGTTATCAACTATTATATATATGCTATGGTTATTTGATATATTTTTAAAACTGATAGATCTATGGATTACTAAGAAACATTTCTGTTGACAGTTTCTTCATTAGAAACTGCCACAATACGAAATCTTATTTTAAAGTTGGTCTACATGAGAGCATAGAAACTGGGACTGACCTTGTATAATCATGATGTAACAGCCACATAATAACTCAATTTTAAGGCATAACTATAAAAGGCTGTTTATCTGATTTCTAGTATTTTCTGACTTTTTTTTGTATGGCATTACTAATTTAATAAAATATCAGTGGCTCAGTAAAATGGAAACAATCATGTTAGGATAGTATAAAGTTTGGTAACCTGGTTCCATGATAAGTAGCCTTTGACATATAGTACTTTGTGCTTTATTGGTTCCAAAGAATTTTTCGTACATGTTACTTATTTTGTCTTTTAAAAATATGAAGTTCGAGAATAGTTTAGTTTTTTTTAAGATGATACTCTAGATGAATCCTAACAGGAATATTCAATCTCTTTTTGCCTGTGTTGTCTACTTTGTTCTATGGAGTGCCACATTGGATTCCATATTGTATTAGGAGTATACAAGGATGCCTGTCCTGACACCCAAATCCAGCTACATGGCCAAACTAGTGTTTTTGAAATTTTCTCTGATACTAAATTGAATAAGGAATGAAATATTTATTTTACTATATGCTTAAAATTTTGTGATATCATAAGTAAATAACAGACCTTAGTCTCTTTAACTATTATAACTACCTTGAAACAAATAAGAAATGGTGTCATTTTACACCATTTGATGATTGGGAATGATCAAGAAATCTGCTTTTCTGGTCAATTGAATATTCTGGATAATTCAGATTTAAAGAAATAAGCTGATTTTGGTTAATATATTTGTTGTTGGAAGTTTCTGTAAATTACTTCATATTCTTCCCCTGCCTAGTTTACTAAGCCAATAGTGAAAAAGGTGGAATTTTTTTTAAGATGATGATGATGATGGTATTTCCTAAAACATGTGTGTGTGTGTGTGTGTGTGTGTGTGTGTGTGTGTGTGTGTGTGTATAAATATGAAAGATTGATTTCAGGGTATGTTCTGGAAGTGAGTGTTTTTAACATTTCCATTAATCCTGATTTACTTTTATTATCTTCTAACTTATTTTTAAATTAGAGTATGGAAAAAACTGTATTCAACTCATGTTGAAAACCTAGGTTCAACCCCTTTGCTGACCCCATCTTCCACTCCTCCACAGCTTTTCACCCCCTTCCACTGCACCTACTGGGCCTTGGGGACAGTGGCTAGCAAAATGCAAAATGTCCTATCCTCTTCTTTGAATATCTGTTCACATTCTCCAGTGCCTCACTTTGCTGTGGTACTTCCTCTCAGCAAATATTTTATTTTTCCTACTCCTCTTACCTCAGATCTGAAGGGCACTGGATGCTCTCCTTTCTCCATTTTGCCTCTTGCCTGACTTCCTCCTCTCAATAAGGCCAACTTGGAAGTTTATGTCATCTAATTACACTGCACATTGTGCCATCTTGATGCAATGGTCTTTCAGGCTTTAGGGAATTGCCTCTCCTTTAAACTCTTTAGCTCCTAGTGCATTGTCACTTTTTTTGAAATACTTCATTTTACCATCCTCCATGCTTTCAATCTTGATGCAGATTATCCTTTCAATAACCCAGTCCTTCAGTTTCTTAACCTTCTTTCCTTCAACAAACAAACAAACAAATAAATAAATAAATAAATAAATAAATAAAATTAAAAAAAATAAATTAGAGCATGGAAAAAATTATGAATATTGACATAAATAGTTGGTTATTTTTTAATTAATTGAGATATTTTTGTTTTACATTGGATGAAAACTCAAGGCATGTTATTTGTACCTTAGTGTTTGTTTCTTTTATTCGTTTGTTTTCTGCCATCAAATATAAATCTTTAGATCTTAAGATTCATGATTTACAACAAAATGGGGTGCACCAATCCTAGGGTATGCAGACAATCCACTTGAGAGCAGGAAGAAAATATTAACACTTGTATTTAAACATGTATGAATATATTCCTATGCATGTTTGTTTATCTAAGATTAAATAAATATACATGCATTAGGAGTGCACATTCATAATTTTGGTACTGCTTGGTTCATGGCCAAAACATTTTTAGACCACTAGAATATGAGGAATTGTGCTTCATGTGATTTTAAATAGCAGTAAAACATATAAAAGGAAAGACCTGAAGGAATAAAACTGGACTGCATCAAGCATGTCCTTGGTAAGACTTTAATTTATGAGTCTGAAATAAATTATATTTTGAAGCAAAGGAGCTAGAGATCTATTCTTTGATACCTATAATACAAAATATATATATATATACATTAGGTCTAATCACTGCAAGTAAAGCTAATAGCACCAAATCTCTTTCCTTAGGGAATAAAATTACCCTTGCCTTTTGGAAAATCTAGTGTATAACAGAAAACATCAAAACCAGTTAACTTCCAACAAAATTGCAAATGGTTTGGAGTCACTTAATGGTGGAACTCTAACTTGTTAGCCATTCAAGTGGCCTTTTTCCCAGCTTTTGGGTTACGAGATGTGGTGTAGCATTCATTTTTCTATAGTTTTTGAGAGAATAAGTTTCATAGCCATATGAGGTATATTTGACCTGCTGAAAACAGAGCACTTAAATATTCTTTTTCTGATATGGTGGGCATCTTTATGTATAGTTTCTGTATCATATATCTTGCACAGTAACCTTTCTAGTGAGTTTTACTTATGTGTTCTTAATTTCCCTGAATGATTTTTCTATCCAACTATTGTTCTTTTTATTTTCAGGGGTTTATGGGAAAGTTCAGCTTCATAGTGCTTATCCTAAGAAACCCTGGACACATCTAGGGGCTGACATTGCATCAGGCAACGAGAGGTAAGGAATTACAGCAAATTAAGAATGTATTTTTTGGTTTAGTTTGCTTTTGTTTTACTATGATATAAAATTAAGTTTTAGACTAAGGACACAATTCAAGGATGAATAAATGGGAAAATAAGAGACCAGAAGGAAATTTTAAAATCTCTATAATATAATTGAAGGTGAATAAAACAAATAAAAGGTGGAGAGGAATAGAATTTATTTAAGGAATAAATTTTAGATAATACAAATTTACTGTTATCAATAAATCTTTAAAAATATGAATTCTATTAGATAACAGATGAAGTTTAAGGTGAGACCATAATAGTCTGAGATGAAATGATAGCTGGTTAAAAGATGGAAAAAAATAAAATAAGAATGAAATAAAGTATATGAAGAGTCTTATGGAATTTAAAAGACAGTAACAGAATTTAATAATGCATTAGAGGCAGTAAAGAATGACATTATCACTGCCTCTGAATAGGTAATATAAAGAGCAAACTGATGCAATCTGCCTGGATGCAGAAGACAAGATCAAGAAATAAAAATAATAAAAGAGAAGGTATTAGAAATAGAGAACAGATATTAGAAAGTATATACAGATAATTGCTCTTTTTAATAAGAGCCCAGATTAACTACAACAGAAAGAATAATGAAAACTACTACTGAAATACACATAGCAAATCCAGAAGTAGTTACATTTAATTTGAACAGATCAACATCAAGAACAATGATTGCTACATATCCTCACAGCATAAGAAAAAATAGAGCGATAAAGTAAAAGAAAAAACAAAAGGGGACACAAAGCTTTTTAACCTTAGGGGTTTTTTATATCATAGGAAGATAGTGGTGCAAGTTGTATATATGTTAAAGGATAAAAAGATTATGACCAAAGAATTAGACACCCTGCTAAGATGCTTTCACATGTGAAAAAACACAAAAGATATCTTTTGTTTGCAAGAATTGAAACAAATGCAAAAAAGTGTTCTAATAAAGTGATTAAGCTGAATCTAAGTTTAAAGGATAATATAAAGGTATCTAAAATACATATATATATATATATGTTAAACATTGAAATAAATTAAATATAACACTATAAATATGACTATTAAAATATGACAAATTCTAATTGTTCCTACAAAAGAAATTACATAAAATTTGAAGAGTTAATGTATTAGTCAGGATTCTGTTTATATGAAATATATATAACTAATAGTTTATGTGTGTGCGTGTGTGTGTTTGTATAATACTGGTTATATACAGTACATATTATTTATGTGGTATATAAAAACAGATGCATTTCAAGGAATTGGCTCACACACTGAAAAGAGCTGGTAAGTTCAAAATTTGTATGACAGGTTAGCAGGCTGCAAAGCCTTAACAAGGATCTGATGCTGCAGTCTTGAGGCAGAATTTCTTCTTCGTCAGCGAAACTTCAGTTTTGCTTTTAAGGCCTTCCAACTGATTAATCAGACCCACCAAGATTATTGAAGGTAATCTCCTTTACTTAATGTTAACTGTAGATGTTAAGCACATTTTCAAAATATATTTGCAGCAACACCTGCTTTAGTGTTTGAATAAAATAATGTTTGGGTACTATGGCCTATCCAAATTGACACATAAACTAACCAAACCTCACAGGTCATTATTCTCAGATAAAAATCTGGAGTTAAAATCTGGGACTGTAGTCATAGGAAACTGAAGATGGGACATAAGCATGCCACAGGAAGTAAGTATGACTGAATTTGTTCTAGCAGAATTTAAAATAGGACATGTATCTTGCAAATCACCAGAGGGGGGAAAATGATAGAAACCATAAAAGAAATAACAAAATATAAAAAGAGAAAAAAATGAAATAGTAGAACCAAAGCAACAACAAAAAAAACCCAACAAAAATTAAAAAGTGATAAGTCTGCCAGCTATAAGAAAATATACCTGTTAAGAAAAACACTATTTATAAAAAAATTGGATAATAAATCAAAATTTTTTACCAAAAGAAAACTTAAAACCAACTCAGAAATAATTTTAAGTTAAATATTGGATTAAATGTATCATTAAAATAAGAACAAAAGAAAAGCATGAGACTGAAAACTATTCACATTTAAAAATCAAAATCAAATTAAATATATAAAATTGGTCAACTAAATACATTTTATATTAACAAAGACTTCAATATCCAGTGAGAACCCAATATCATGAAAGTTTTTCACCAGATAATATAATATAGAAATATATAAAATAAATCTCTAAGTAATATAAGGGAAAATTGACAGAAGCAAAAGTAGTAATAAAAAACATTTAGGGGGCCCGGCCGTGTGGCGCAATGGTTAAGAACTAGCTTGGGACGCCAGAGGGCCCCGGTTCAGATCCCACATATGAGGGCCAGTGACACTGCCCTCCACGGTTAGGATGCTGAACAACAGCTCAACCTGGAGCTGGGCTGCCGTGAGTGGCTGACGATGGCGTAGGCTGCAGCCCCTGTGGCAGTGGGTTGCCATGGATTACCGTGTGTAGCCAGCAGCCGCAGTGAGCGGCCGTCCAGAAGCCCACGACTAATCTGTCTGCTGGGAAGAGCGCACTGATGGTGCCAATTTGGGCCTGTGAAGCAACGTCCTCCACAACTAGACTGAAGAACAAAATGACAGTAACTTGTCTGTTCCCCTTCCCACAATTCCCCAGCACTGTTCCCATTCCCCCAATTCCCTAATAAAAATCTTTAAAAAAACAAAACAAAAAAAGCAAACAAAACATTTAGGGCTGGCCGAGTGGCGCGTTGGTTAGGAGTTGGTTTGGGACACCAACTCTGAGCAACAGGGCCCCAGTTTGGATCCCACATGAGGACCAGTGACGCTGTGCTCTCTACAGCTAAGATGGTGAACAACAGCTTTACTTGGAGCTGGGCTGCCATGAGTTGCTAGCGATGGCATAGGCTGCAGTGGGGCTAGCTGGCAGCAGATATGAGCTTTCATGAGCTGCCATGAGCTGCTGTGAGCGGCCTTCCAATGGCCAGCAAGCAACTGCCTCACCTGGGAAGAGCACAATGATAATACCGACATGGGCCAGTGAAGCAATGCCCTCCACAACTAGGCTGAAGAACAAAAAAGACAGCAACTTGTCTGTTCTCCTTTCCCAATTCCCCAATAAAATCTTGAAAAACAAAAACAAAAAAATCAAACAAAAAAACATTCACTTACCTTTTTCAGTTCTTAACTTTTAAATTAGGTTAAAAATAAAGAAAATGTGAAGAAATATCAATAATATAATGAAGGCAATTTCATTTGTATATTTATGTGTGTATATATATATATATATATATATATATATATATATATAAAAACACATATTCTGGGATAAGGATATATCTATATATATATATAAACTAATAAATTTTAATGAACAAGAATGATAGAGAAAATGATCACAATGAAATAAACATAAAGATTAAAATAACATCTTAATTAAAAATCTTAATCACTTGCAAGATGAAAAAAAGGAAAAAGAAACTCTTTCCTTAATAACTTTTGTATCAGAGATCAAAACTTTTTAAATAAAATACTTGGGAAGAAACAATATTGAGAGTATTGAATGAGACATGGCCAAACATTCCATCACATTAAATACTTTCATTGTTGAATAAGAAAGTACAAAAATAAACAAACAAAATTGCCAACATGAGAAATCAGAAATAAAATGCGTAATAACTCTAATGAAATTAATTGGTGCATGATCAAAGCAGAAACTAGTGAGTTAAAAAGTAGGAAACTGGTACACTTAAATTTTTTTTTTTAGAGGTAGTGGTTTAATCTCTAATAACTTTAATCATACAAAAAAATGTAAAATCAGAAATGAGAATTTAAATATAACAGATATCAAAGAGATTCAAATTGTAATATAAAATATTTATGTAATATCATTTTGAAATTAAAAAGATGATATATAGAGATATAAATTATCATAATTGGCTAAAGAAGAATAAAACTGAAAGAGCCAATAATAGCAAAAGACATAAAGTTATCAAAGATTTATTTCTAAGTAGCATTTAAGTCAAATAAATGTATGGCATGTTCTTTCAATTATTCAATTATCACTTTTTATGTTGTATAATCTATCCATAGCACAGGAAAATATGTTAAGCTTTCTAATTAATTTTAGGAAGCAAGGATAAAATAATTTTTTTAACAGCTGGTAAAGATAGCTCAAAAAAAATGGAAAACAAAAACTGAGGCAACATTCAAATGTAAGTAAAATGCAAAAATCCTAAGTAAAACAGAAACAAATGAAATCCAATAATTTATTAGAAGAAAAATTAATGACTGTATGTGATTCAAGTAAAGAGAGATGGTTCAAAATGAAATAATTCATTAACATAATTTTTCTAAACAATAGGTATAAATATTAAGAGTATAATCAATTTGGTACAAAACAGAAATGATTTTCATAAAATTCAGCTTGCATTCTTAGAATAAACAGTAAATTATGACTACAAGGGTACTCCCTTTAAATCAATGTTTCTTGATAGCGTTGTTCAGCCATTAGGTGAAAATCACTACTTTAAATAATAATACAAAATAAATAATTAAAAATCACTATGAAACAAGAAACTGTATATTATGGAAAAACTGACATTAAAAATCACTATATTAGAACAGTCATTAAATATTTTTATTAAAGTTTTAGCTGCTGTATTTCATCACGAAAAATACATTAGTTGTAAATATTAAAAGGAATACAAACTCCTTTCATTTTTTGTGGATTGCATATATTTTGTCCTAGAAAACTAGAGAACCATCTGAAAAGCTATCAGTTATATTCAATAATGCACAAATCAATAGCTTTTTAATATGTGAGCAATAAAGTTTTAAATTATAATAAAAAATCCTATTTAAAATTTCAATTCGAAATACTAGAAATAAACTTAAGAAAAATTATAGGAGCTGTAAAAGCAAAACTGTAAAACACTAGTAAGAGGCATAAAAGGAGATTAGAATAAATGGTGATGCATAATGTGAATGGAAAGG